AAAGTTAAATGTTTCCCTGCTGTATAGCTCAGCTTGATTCAGCCTGTTCCACCTCTTCTGTCACCGTTTTCATGCTCCAGCACCTTGCTTTCATACAGAACCAACTCTGCTTCTCTATCATCCGTGTGTAGCGATGCTATCAGCAAAAACTGAAAGCCTTTATGGGGTGCGTGTGTCATCTGCAGGCATATGAAAATCTGATGTGGACGGGGGCACCATCCCCATTCTGAAGCCATTTGAAAACTGAACGTACATCCGGATCCAAATTGGGCAAACAAAGCTGCTACAGACAAAGCTCCATTCCATTTGTGGTGATGTTAGGACAGCAGGACAGTGAAGGTCACATCGGCTGAACTGGAAACTGTGTTTGGGGAGTGGGATGCCTGCATGCCAACGCCAGCAGCTGCAGCATGGCCCAAGGAGCTGCATTGGCTCCTGCTTCCAAGGAATATCTCCTTTTTGCAGCTGCTGTGCGTTGTGGCTGGAGCCCTGGGGCCATTGACAGCCCTGGAGCTTCCTGGCTCTGCCCCTCCTATCACCTCTGCTCACTGCCTAGTAGCAATCCAGCCTTCTGCAATGAAGTTTCCTCCATTTTAGCTTCTCAGCACCTGCAGCTATACATGGAAGGAAGTTGGCACTTGGGAAACAAAGTGTAGTTTCCTATTTCCTCTGAGCTTGTTTCCCACAGGTTTAGCCTGCAAACTAATATGCCAAGCTAAACTAAGCCAAACTAAGATGCAAGCCAGCAGATGAGTCACCTGCTGGGTGCTCTGCTAACTCAGCCACAGCTGAGGAAGTTCTATAGAAGCAGCTCAGACTGCGATGTCAGCCCCATCCCCAAGACACCAAGTTAACATAGTGAGTTCATCTTCACTTGCATTCAAAGAAAGGAGGTAATAAATGAAATGATAGAGCAAGAATAGCACAGAACAAGGCAATGCCCCTAACCTTGCTACTTAGGATTAACTACAGTGATTAGGAAAGACACATCACCAATTGCCCCAGTATTTTACTATCATCCAGACCTGCATCCACTGGATGCCCCAGTTGCAGTGAGGGTTTGCTTCCTGGGAGCTGGGAGATCCTGGCAGGTAGATCTCCAGCTTCACTACTGGAGAGTCCAGCTTTTCTACTTTTGAACAGACAAGCTTACATACCTTTAAGCACGGAAACATCTGGTTTAATTCTCCCTCTTTGGATTCCACCTCCAGCCTGGCCAAGGCTCAAGGAGGAACCATGGAGTCTGTGTATTAGTGAGCCTTGATGCTTCTGAACAAGGAAAGGTCCACACATTTTCATAATGCTTCATGTAAGCTACATCTCTTGCTAACGAGGCACCTTATCCAAGATATGTATTTTGCTAATGGTCGTATCCATTTGGTTAATGATTGGACAATGATGATGTATAAGGGGTTGTGAGATTCATCCAGAAGTCCACATTGGTTCAAGGCCTACAGTTCAAGCCTTCAGCAGCACAAACAGTGCCGAATTTCTTAAACTCCGCCTTATTAAACAAATGCACATCACTTCATGTTGTTCACTTCTGCCAAGCTGTGGGGCTCCTTGCACAAGAACATCAACAGGATGGAGCTCTTTACAATAAGAGCAGAAAGGCTGGTGTTGCCCCATCCCTGCAGACAGCCGAGGTCGGGCTGGATGGGCTCTGAGCACTGCTGGAGCTGTGGGCGTCCCTGTGCACTGCAGGGAGCGCGACCTGATGGCCTTTAGGGGTCCCTTCCCATGAAGATTCTATGGCTTTGTGGTCTGGCTGTTTGCACAGCGCTGCCCCCAGCCCCGCTCTGCACCATTCAGCATCTCCAACATTTGCAGAGCGCTCCCCGGTGATCGCTCCCTTATTACACTGCTGATGCACTTAAACCCCTGTTTGCTCTGTGCACACATCGGAGCTATCTGCAACATCAGAACTGCTACAAAAGGCGGTGAGAGGCACAGCGTTTTTCTTTCACCCCCTTTTATTTCCATAAAATCCGACTCGCTGATGGACCGCGTTTGCCTGAAATGCGAAGGAAGCAAAATAAACAGCAGTGCTGTGAGAGCAGCATTAAAACGCAGCCATGCTTTCCACACCATCGCTTACTTTGACACGCGGACAGATACATGATGAGCAAAAAGGGGTCTTCAAACAAGGAGAGCTGTTCCTTGAAGCTTGCATACTTGTCAACGTTACCGGGTTCCTTCTTTAGGGCAGAAGGCATCCCATAGGACTCAGTCCCCCCCCTCTGAGCACGTGTTCTCATTGACTTTCAGGATGACTGTCAGCATAAGAGCAAAGATAAGCCTAAGAAAAGGCAGACAGGCCTTCAGAGTTGCTTCCATTTTGGCTAATCGTTGGTTTTCTCTTTCAAAAAGACCCAACCCCCTCAAGTGGAGTTTCTATTGGTGGCTTGCTTCAAATGACTCAGCTGAATGCCTGAGGGACTTCAACAGATTTCTGTATTTGCTTCATGACGATGCTCCGAAAACGCGTTTCTCCCCCCTCCACCCAAAAAAAAAAAAAAAAAAAAAAAAAGGATTCAAAAAGCCAATGTTAATTAAAAAATAAAAAATATATTAAAAAAATAATAATCACCTCAAGCCCTACTTTGATCCCCCCCCCTGCAGACTGTTACTTTTCACCATAATTGCAAAGGTAACCTGCAGGGAAACAAATTAAGACGAAGAGAGAAGATACAAAAATGGAAGTGCTCCAGAAGCAGCCTCAAAGCAGAGCAACCCGAGGCAGTGTGAGATGAGATCCAACATGAGAGAGCGTCCTTCATCAGGTGGGATGGACGCAGACATGTCATGCACAGGCAAAATCTGAGAAAGGCGCAGCCTCTGTGGCTGAGGAAAGCCAAACGTTCTGCTGTGGTGTTGCTGTTTATCTGAAAATGCACATTTTTTTTCCCTGAATTTTCCATTTCCTGGCTTGAATCGTGATGAGCAATTGGGATGTCCCACGGACGGCGACGCTGTCACTCAGCACAGAGCATGTGTCTTCCGTAGCGACGCCGCGCAGTGAAACTCCGGACTGAGGCATGAAAATGCCATTGTAAATTAAACAAGAACGCATAATGAATAACAAAAATGAAAGAGTGAATCACATGAAGCAATAAAAGGAGACGCAATAAACTGAGATTAAACAAGGGAACAATTTGGCTCATGCAGGAGGGTACACAACTGTCTTCAGGAGTGCTTGAGCTGGATAATCCGCCCAGTAATTACGTTACTTTACATCCCTGGTAGCTTCCAGCAGGAAGCACTGTGGGTGCAGCTCTGTGGGGTCAGCTGAAGGACCTGGCTATCCCTCGCAGCCAGCTCTGTTAACAGCATCTCTGACACCGTGACGTGTCTCTCCAGACACAGAACTGTCACATCAACCAATTCCATGCGACTTCACCCCTCTGCCCGTTCCCCTTGGGGGCAAACAGCACGACAGGGCTGCACATCCTTCTGCCACGCATCCACCTTCACTCCACTGAGGCCACTTTGAGGAGCACACGTTTGTGTTCCAGCTCTTGGTGGCCTTTACAGCCCTCTGTCATCCACTTCAGGGACTCACCCACCTCTCCTCCTTGCTCTCAGCAGGGTGGAAATCACAGAATCATAGACTCACGGAATGGCCTGGGTTGCAAAGGAGCACAGCGCTCATCCAGTTCCAACCCCCTGCTGTGTGCAGGTTGCCAACAGCAGCCCAGGCTGCCCAGAGCCACATCCAGCCTGGCCCTGAATGCCTGCAGGGATGGGGCATCCACAGCCTCCTTGGGCAACCTGTGCCAGTGAGGAACAGCTTTCCATTCATTAATACAGCTGGCCAGCTCTGGGTGCCCTGACGTGCTGGAACACCACAAGGAGAAAGTGCTGCAAACCTGAGTTGTATTTGTAAATACCTGCAACAGCAACTTCAGGTGATAACTGGAAATTAAAAGAAACTGCCTCAGAGCTTGAAGTCATGTTGTCTTTTGAGTTTGCTCGTTTTCTAGTGATCTCTCCACCTCAGAAGTGCAGGAGCAACTTTTTTCCCCTTAAGCTCTTGCAAAAACTTCTCAGCCTGTTCAGGCATTTCCATCCAGAGAGGCAAACTGCTTCTGTGAACACTTGTCGTGCTTTCTGTAAAGAAGATAAGACATTTTTGTTTTTAACTTCTTCCAAAAAGGAGTTCCTGCAGCGGAGATGTCACCCGGCTCCCTGCCCCAAGCCGTGTTGACGGCACTTTGCTTTAGCGCGTAAATTAGGACACAGACATGAGAACCTGCACGGCCGACGGTAAAACCGCACCGTGCCATGGCCATCCCCTCGCCTATGTCCCCTGACCCCCGTGTCCCATTCCGGGTTCCTGCGGCAAAGCCCCCCCGCCGCTGCTGCCCCGCGCAGACCGACCCGAGCCCGCCGGATGTACCCGAGGGGAAAACCCACTCTTCGGAAGTTTCTGATTCGCGAACGTAACTAATGGTGAAAACGGCCCCGAGCGCCGTGTAGGGCGGTGTCTCCATCAGAGCGAGAGCTGCCACGGCCCGGCTGCCCGCGGAGAACGGGAACAGGCCGGAGCGCCGGCGGCACCGGGACAACCGGGTTCCCCAGGGCTCGGCGGAGCGGGACGAGCGGCACCGGGACGGCCGTCGGGGAGCACGTGCGGCGGATAGGGGCAGCGCCGGGGCTGAGCTCCGGGATGGAACCGACCCCGCCTCCCCCCTCCGAGAGCCCTCCGGGGCGGGGAGGAAGGCGGGGGGGTCCGGCTGCCCGCGGCATCACCCGCCCCCGCCGGAGGCAGGATGGAGGCACGGGGGGCCGGGGGCGGCCGCAGCCCCGGCCCCGTGAGGAGGCGTCAGGCGCTGGAGCTCCGGTCCCGGCTTCGTATAAATGGGGGTCGTCAGCGGCGGCGTGTCAGCAGCGCTCTCGGCCCAGCCGCAGCCAGAGCCGGAGCGCGAAGCCGGGCTGGGGCCGGCCCGCAGCGGAGTGCGGCTCGACGGCGGCGCGGGCAGGGAAGCGGCACCGGCACGATGGGCGGCGGCGGCCCCCGGCGGCCCGGCGCGCTGCCGCTGCTGGCTCTGCTGGCTCTGCTGGCTGCTCAGGGCGGAGCGGCCCCGCTGCAGCCCGGCGGCTCCCCCGCGCTCACCAAGATCTACCCCCGCGGCAGTCACTGGGCTGTGGGTAAGTCTCCGTGCCGCCCCCCGCGCTCCGCTGGCCGCTCCGGGGGCTCCGTGCTGCCCGCCTGCCGCCGCCGTCGGGTCTCCTTCCCCGCTCCGTCCCGGGAGCGCCGGGCGGGCTGTGGCTGTGCGGGACGAGTTCCTACATCCGACATCAAGGCATGGGAAGTCTAAACTTTCAGCTTCTTCACTCACAACTTGTTTCACCATTCTTATCAGGTGCTGCTCCCTATTTCCGGCAAAATGCTTGGTTATCTCTCTCCGGTTTGTAGCAACATCCCCACTGCCCGTGTAGGAAATCAGTTGTAACACTGACAGCGCCTTCAGTCCCTGCCGTGCTTCAGTTTCAAAATCTTGCTTCCGTTCCCCTTCCCTTTCCTTTTCCCCTTCCTTTTCCCTTTCCCTCCCCTCCCCTCCCCTCCCTCCATACCATCACTACTCCTAGCTGATATTTGAACCCTTAAAGCCGTGTTTTGCCTGTTTGGATGAATTTCATGCCACAGTCCTCGTTCTTACAGGGCACTTAATGGGGAAAAAGAGCACTGGGGATTTTCCTTATGCCTATGAAGAAGAAAACAAGATCCCATTTTCAGCCTCACCTGAAAATATCAAGCAGCTGGATGACTATCTGCAGCGGGAAGAAATGTCCAAACATTTGCTACAGCTGCTGGAAGGGAATGAAAATAAAAGTGCTCACTTCTCAAAAGGAGGGCTTCCCTGGCACGCCAGGAACTCCTGGGAGACAGATGACAGCAGCAGCTGGAAAGATGTAAGTAAGACAAAATGTGTGAGCGCATTCCTTAGTCACCTTTTGTTTTAAAGTGGCATACCATCTCTTGACTTCTGCATTGATCTGATCGTTATCAGAAGTGTGTCTAAAGCAGCAGTCATTCAGTAAATGCAGCATTCATTCAGTGAAGCAGGATTTTACCCTTGATTAGGAATGGTCGGTCACATACGCCGTGATTTATGAACAATTCAGCAGGTGTTCCACAGGTTTCAGTGTCCAGATTCCCTTTCAGCCCCCCCTGGTTGTCAGCATTCTTGGTTTTTCTGGCACTTCCTCAGGCTGAGATGACCGCATCAGCAGCAAGTTCTGTGTCAAATCAGCAGAACCGAGCTGAAAAACAGGTGTGCATGCAGGGAGGAGGCAGAGAGCTTTACACATCCTGTATAAAGCTGCCCCACACGGGCTGTGTGTTCTGGCTGCTGTTGCCTGCTCTGGCTTGCAAGGCACCTTACCCTGGAGCTGAGCTGCTCCCAGCTCTGCTTTCAGCACACCCAAATCCCTTCCCCAGGCATCAGTGTGTCTGCCTGATGATGCTGACCGCTGCTGTGGTCGTGTTTGGTCCCGCGGAATCAATCTCTGCCTGCAGGCGAGCTTTAACACGTGCCATCCTTAATCCAACCTCTCCTTCCCTTAAGCAACGGTACCTACGAGCGCCAGTTCATGAGGTGTGGCTTTGGTACAGATTCACCCCCATTCCTTTGGGAAACCCTGTGAAATGTACTTGGGAGGATGTTTAACAGAAGGTAATCGAGGTCCGAAAGAAGGCTTGCTGTGTGCACTGCAGAACTTGCAGTACGACTCCTTTCTCTGCAAAGCACCAGGTTCCAGGACGGTGATGGAGCTGCACATCTCTTTTGGGGCAGCATTGATACGGTATAGAAAGAGTGACACATGCTTTTAGAGGCACTGATGAGAAGGGTTTTTCTTCCCATCTTCTCCACCAGTGCGTATTCCTGAGGTAACTCTGCCCTGCCTTCCCTCCTGAATTCCCAGTGCAGTGAAATCATTGCTGCTGACTTGAATAAGGATTTACTCATTCAATTAAGCTGTGATTTAAGTCTCTTAGAGCACTGATGTGAATGCTGCCCGTGTGTTTGTTTCTGGCTGTAGCTTTATGACAGTGATGTTTAAAATAACTGTGATTGATATGGTCTATAAAGGGAAAGCTATTTGTCTCCTCCTCAGTTCTGCAGCGTGCAGCTCTGTAATCCAGTTAGACAAACTCCATTATGTTATATGGAGAGGGAAATATTTTTACTTCTAAAAGCATTTGGTAATAAATCGTATTTGAATGGCCAGATGTTGCCCTTATTGAATTCTATTCACATCTGTGTGCTTTTGCTCTAAATTAATATCCACTTTTTTTTTTTGGGGGGGGGGGGGGTCAGACATTGAACGTATTTATGGAATAAATAACGGGGTAATAACAAATACGTGGAATAACATTGCCTTAAATCTCCAGAATTATCAAACGAGTGGCAGAATAAATCACGTCTCCTGTGCAACCGTGATATGTGACATCAGCAGAGCCTCGTTTTGCCACAGAACCTTTCATTTCCAGTGTGCAAAGTTGCTTTGTCTCTCCCCTGCACCATGAAAGGGGGCGCCTACCCCCTGCTCTCCTCTTGCTGGACGCAAACAGCCGATTGCATGCAGCCTGGAGAGGACAGAATGCACTGTTCTTCCACCAGGCTCCAAAAGCAAAACCCCAGCACCCAACAACCCAACCCAGACCTTCTGCTGAGGTCTGCCTTCCCGGTGCAGGAGGTCTGAAGACCAAAAGCGACGTGCTTTGATGCAGGAGGGCTGTGCACTCAGATGCTGTCCTGGGGGATGCGCTGTAGTGGGAAATGCTGGCAGGAGGTGGGTGTTGGACTGGATGGTCTCACACGTCTTTTCCAGGCTTGGTGAACTTGTGATCTTTTCCCAAATGTTTAAATAACGATTGCTGTTATTTTTCTTTCCTGACGAGGCAGTGTTTATTTGCAGGGGCAAATTCTGGTGCACAGGAAATTCAGCCTCACGTGTACACAGCGACATGAGAGCTGACATGACCTCTGGATTTCTGTTCTGTGGATGTAGTGTTGATACCTAAACGCACATATTTTGTATACCCTCTGGGTATGAGGGCTTCCATCTTGCACTTGGCCCACACGCTTCCTGTTCATGCTCAGTGGAGTTGCCTGTGTATGGGGACAGTGGCTGGGCATCAGGTGGCTGAGCAAATGGTGATGGGGCAGTGGCTACGGGATGTTTGCAGTTGGCCCTCGGTGCCATTGTGCTTTTCCAGCCACAGTGTGTTTGGAAAAGAAACTGACTGTGAGAGGCAGCAGATCCCGTGTTCGGAATTGGTTCGCTGTGAAACTGCCCTTTGGGTGGAGGTACTGAAGTGTGAGCAAGAGTGATTTGTGTGCTGTGCAGCGATGCATTACCTGCCCTGGGACCAAAGAGTGACCAGGGAGCTGCAGGCAGGGAGTGGTGCTGAGCACGGGGAGCTGCTGTGTCTCTCCACTGAGCATCATTGAAGGCAGGCGCTGCTGGGAAGGGCTCTGTTCCATGGAGCCTGTCAAATTTCAGTGCAGTTTTTGAATTTAAAATCATAGATTGGGAGTTACTGACCCTGAAGTCAAAAGCTGCAGCAGTAAATTCAGGTCTGCCCTTCAAGTAACTCGGCTCAGAGCCTTGGGTGCAAGCTCTGATTTGTTCTGAGCATTATCCACCATCAGTGCTCATGCTGTGCCATTCAGTTCTCAACAACAACAACAATAATTATTATTATTATTATTATTATAAAATTCAGAAAGACCAGAACACATTGTGATGAGTATCAAAACAGACAGCCAAAATGGGAGAGAACTGAGCATCACAGTGCTGGGAATTCAGCGGCGGGTGGAGTGCCTGAGTTCCATCCTTCTGTCTTAAGGCAGCTGTGGGCTGAAGGAAGACTTTGCTGCTCTTTATTCCATGGATAAATTGCAGTTGAAGTGTTTAAAGATCGGAAAGGAAATCTGTCCTGCAAGCTGGCCTTGGTGTAAGTCGGAAAATAAGCTCTAAACTGTTCCTGTGTCTTGGCTTTTTAGCAGTAATGAGGCATTATATCAACCAAGATGGCAGACAGAATGCTCTGGGAAATGACTTTCCTCTTACTTTGCTGATTGGCCATTAAGCTGATCAAGACAAAGGATGTCTTTTTGTGTTTGTTATGGGAGCACACGAGGCAGCTGTGTATGAGGCTGATGAGCTTAGAGAGTGACTTCTGCCAGGCCTGCTCTGTAAATGCCATTTTTTCTCTTTTTATCAGATGATGGAGAATCTGCTCCAAGTTGTGAATATGAAGGAGGGCACTCCGAGCTGAAAGGAAGTCTCTAAACCCGAAGAATTGGAACACTTTCCATAAGAGACTATGTTTCACAACCACTTGATTGTTATCAGATAATCAGCAAGGTTTCCTTTCTGTAAACAAGATTTCCGTTGTGTAAGACACCTAAATACACGTATTCTTGTATGTTTCGGCAAAGACCACGCTCCCTACTTCATTTCCGACGCTGCCCTTTCTTCCTCGAGCGGCTGTGACAGCCGCAATGCTCACGGAAGGGTCTTACAACGAATTACACCCGCCCGCTCCGGTCGGACACCGCGCGGCGTCCCGGCGCTGCAGCGGATGGCGCTGATGGAAGGAGCCGCGGCTGCTCTCCCGCTGTGCCCGACGCGGCCGCCAGGGGGCGCCGCAGCACCGCGGATCCGGGGCAGTGCGGGGCGGTGCGGTGGGAGGCGCGGGGCGGTGCGGGGGGTCCGCCTGTTTTCCCAGTCCTTTCCCAGCTGGTTAGTCCTTCCCGCCCTCCTCCTTCAGTTTTTCCCTCCTGGAGGATGGGGTTCTCTTCCCCCAATTTAAGATCATTGGTTCCTAACAGTTGGAAGGGACCAGCAGGTCCCACTGCCTGCAGTGCACAGGAGCACCCACAGCTCCATCAGGTGCTCAGTGCCCCATCCAGCATGACCTTGGGATGGGGCACCACCACCTTTCTGGGCACTCAGGTTCCTCACCGCCCTCAATGTGAACGACTTTTTCGACCTAAATCTCCACTCTTTAAGCTTGAAGCCATTTCCCCTTGTTCTATCACCACAGACCCTGCTGAAGCGTCTGCCCCCTTCTTTCCTGCAGCTCCCTTTTAGACACTCACAGGCTGCTCCCAGGTCTCCCTGGAGCCTTCTCTTCTCCCTGCTCTCAGCCTGTCCTCACAGGGGAGGTGTTCCATCCCTGGCACCACTTCTGCAGCCCTCCTCTGGATGTGCTCTGTCAGGCCCACGTCCCTCCTGCACTGAGCACTCCCCATCTGGACACGGCACTCCAGGTGAGGTCTCACAGCTCAGAGCAGAGGGGCGCATCCCCCCCTCGCCCTGCCGGCCACGCTGCTGCGGATGCAGCCCGGGACACGGTTGGCTTTCTGGGCTGTGAGGTGACACTGCTGGCTCATACCCAGCTGCCATCCAGCAGCGCCTCGCGTCCTTTTCGGCAGGGCTGTGCTCCATCCTCACATCCCCCAGCTTGATGGTGCAGGTTGCCACGGCCCAGGTGCACTCCTTGCATTTGGCTTTGTAGAACCTCATGCAACTTTCATGGACGCTCCTCAGCCTGTCCAGGTCTCTCTGGATGGCATCCTGCCACCCTTGGGCCTGCCAAAAGCACCAAAGCCTTGGTGTCATCCACAAACTGCTGTGGGTGCGCTCAGTTTCTCTGCCTGTAGGGTGGCACTGGTGTGATGTGACAGAGAGGGAAAAAGCAGAGGTGTGCCCACGGCAGCTGAGTGGCTGCAGGACCACAAGGCCCCAAAGATCTGGGGCTGCCCACCATGTAGGCCATGCTGCATTCTCTGTGCTCCCTGTGCTCCCTCCCATACCAGCAGCCCGAGCTGCAGCTCTGCCTCCTCCTAAGGCCATCCAAATCCCTGCTGCCCATCACTGCTCTCCCCTAACTGCCCTGACCTGATCATTTTAACCTCTTTTCTACACAGCACCAAACATTTCAGGGCTTTATGTCACCGTTCTTAGTGCGGCAGGAACTTCGTATGCCAAAGGGCTGACGTGTCGGCCAACATTCACATCACACATTAGCAAAATAGAGAAGGCACGATGTTTGTTCTACCAGAAAGCCCAGCAGTGCTGTCAGTATGGCAGCAGCCCCACTCTAATCCTCCCCAGCTTCTGGTTCTGTCCCCCCACACGTGCAGGCAGGTGACACGAGCTCCCGCATAGCCCAAAAGGCTTTATTTTGGGGGATGAAACAAACGCAGAGGTGGGTTTGGTCCCCAGGTCCTGTGCCTGCCCTCCCCCCATAGGTGGAATGGGCACAGCTCAGCCAGGATCCCAGCACAGTGCCCCCAGCACAGCCAGCACCCAGCGCGCCCTCCTGCCTGAACCCAGCACCATCACAAGGGGCTGCATCTTTCGATAGCTCCATTTACAGCTGTTTTATGGGTGCGACTTTTCCTCGGAGCTCTGGGTAGCCGCAGGGGTCGGCAGCAGGGGCTGGCAGCGCCGTCCTGCTGATGGAATTGAAGCAAAAGGAGAAAGAGCTCCGGCAGAAATGGCCGCGCTAAGAGCCTTAGAGCAGTCAGAGCAAAGAAGTGGTTAAGGATCTAGATGATTTAATCCAGTTTTAAGAAAAGGTTTTACAGTGAGCAATTAGATGCTGGTTAAGGAATTAATCACTAATGGGTCATTAACTCTGACTGCTATTGTACAGTTAACAAGCCGAGGCAGGATTATTAGACTCAGCACCCAATTAAGGAGGAGAAGATATTTACAACAAATGGAACAAACGGGATTTTAAAATGGAACGGGACAGTCGGAAAGCGCAGGAAGACAGAAAACCAGGCGGGGTGCGGGTGCGTTTGTGCTCAGCCCTTTATTGGCTCCGAAAACATTTACCTTTCCACGTTCAGGAGGGCTGAAGTGCTAACACCGTCACTTTCCTCGGAGGACGCGGCTGCACACAGGGGCCGATAATCCGGCGCAGGGTTCAGGCGGACCGCAGGTAACAAAGGAACTGCTCCGTACGTCCGCGGAAGAGTCCCGTCGCCACAGCCCGGCGATGCACGCCGTCTTTCGCCTGCAGGTTTTGGATAAAGAGCTTGAAGAGAAGCGAACGGGAGTCCGCAATGCTCCGCCGTGCCGAGCAGAACTCCGCGGGTCCTCCTGGCGGCCGTGCGGGATGCGGGAGGCAGCGGGATGCAGGCGGGCAGGGGGATGGTGTCAAAAGGTGGGCGAGCATCCCTGGACCCCAGGGAGCACCCCCGGACCCGGGGAGCACCCCCAGACCAAGGGGTGCTGCTTGATGACCGCAAGCAACAAGTGCTGCAGGAGGTATTCCATCCAGGTGATGCACACGAGCAAGAGCTTCCGAAACAGAGGGATCCCAGTGATTAGCTGCACCCGCTCTGTGCACACCAAGGGGCTTGGGGGGGTCGGGGGGGGACGGGACTCTGCTGCGAAGGAGGCTGCGGAGGGATGCTTAGGAACTGCTGTCTGAGGTGAAAGAGCTCCCTGAAGTGAAGCTGAGCGGAGCTGACATGCTTGCTCCTGACAGGGCTCTTAAAGATATGCACAGATTGTGAAAATATAATTAGAAGCCAGCCTTTGTCTGGCCACAACGAGTGGGAAATGGTGAAAGGAAAGGCCTCCCGGCCGGCATTGAATCGTCCCTGGGACACAATAAGGGCGCTTGTGCATCCTTCTCCTTTCCCTAATGAGAAATGTTAATTGCCACAACCTCCAGAGTGTGCAGAGTGCCCCGTGCCCAGCAGAGGAGAAGGGCGGTTTCATTACAGCTTCTCAGCCCCATTACGGGCAGTAACGGAGATAATGGAAAAAAAAGGGATGCTGCAGTTACAGCTGAGGTGGCTCAGGAAGGGTGCTGTGCTGCAGGGGGTGATCACAGCCCTGCACCCTGACGGCACTCGGCCCCACAGCACTCATCCCCACGACGCTCAGCCCTACAGCGCTCAGCCCTACAGTTCTCAGCTCCACAGCCCTCAGCCCGACAGCGTTCAGCCCCATAGCACTCAGCCCCACAGCGTTCAGCCCCACAGCACTCAGCCCCACAGTGCTCGACCTGACAGCGCTCAGCCCACAGCGCTTCACCCCACGACATTCACCCCACAGCACTCAGCCCTGCAGCACTTGATCTCACATCTCTCAGACCCCTCCGAGGTCGAGCCCACGACACAGCGCTGCTACGCTCAGCCCCTCAGCACTCACTCCCTCAAAGCTCAACGGCGCAGTGCTCAGCCCTGCAAACACTCAGCCTTGCAGCACTTGCTCCAGAGCCTCAGCCCCGCAGCACTTGAACCTGCAGCTCTCAGCCCCACAGCTTTCAGCCCCACAGCTCTCAGCCCCGCAGCTCTCAGCCCCACAGTTCTCAGCCCCGCTGCTCTCAGCCCTGCAGCTCTCAGCCCCACAGCTCTCAGCCTCGCAGTTCTCAGTCCCACAGCTCTCAGCCCCACAGCTCTCAGCCACGCAACTCTCAGCCTCTCAGCTCAGCCCCACAGTTCTCAGTCCTGCAGCACTCGGCCCCACAGTTCTCAGCCCCACAGTTCTCAGCCCTGCAGCACTGAGCCCCGCAGTTCTCAGCCCCATAGCACTCAGTCCCACAGCTCTCAGCCCCACAGCTCTCAGCCCTGCAGTTCTCAGCCCCACAGCTCTCAGTCCCGCAGCACTGAGCCCCGCAGCTCTCAGCCCCACAGCTCTCAGTCCTGCAGCTCTCAGTCCCGCAGCACTCAGCCCCGCAGCTCTCAGCCCCACAGCTCTCAGCCCCACATTGTTCAGATCACAGTTCTCAGTCCCACAGCTCTCAGCCCCACGGCACAGCCATCCCCTTGCCTGTGCAGTCACCGGGGAGCACAGGGCTTGCAGGATCTGTCAGTCCTTTTCTCTGGGGTCAGTGTGGGCCAGAAGCACAGGGTGAGGTGGCAAAGGACATCTGGACCTCAGGCCACCCTGCAAAACTGTGCGAGGATGGGAAGCACCACTGGGCCACAACCCTGGCAGAGCTCCGTGGCGGCTGAGGGAGCACCACGGCCACACTGAGGGACAGGAGGACCCCAGGGGCTGGTAGCCCTGGCAGCCCCTTAGTGCACACACCCTGCAAGCCAGCGGTGCCACTGAATGGCACAAAAGCAGAGGACCCTTCCCGCACCCTGCGGGTCACAGCTCCCAGGCACTCCGTGCATCTCTTGCGCTCTACAGCAGCTTTTATTGCGACCTAAGCATCCAGCCAACAAGGGAGAGTGGGAGAGCTTTTCCTAAACTACAGCCCAGCCCCAGCTCTGCGGGACACACGGCACAGGGGGTTCAGAGGACCACGAAATACAAAGTCGGGACGCGGACGATGTCGGCAACGGAGCGGGTCGGGGGCGTCCCACGGCCTCCCGGCAACCGGTGCTCTCAGCAGCCGCAACCCAGCGAAGGGAGGGAGCTCAGATGGTCTGCCAGGGCTTGCCGATGGACTGGATGTGCTCCTTGGCCTTCATGCGCAAGGCGGCGATGCTGGTGTTGCGCGGGTCCCCTTCGTCCAGGGGGAACTTGTCCACAAAGGCAGCCCCGCACTGGTAGGGCGGCGGCGGCCCCATGGCTCCCAGGGGCTGCAGCGCGTGGGTCACGGCCGGAGAGTTCAGGAAGGGCGGTGGTGTGTAGCTGGCAGGCAGCCCCTGAGCAGGGGCCGCGAAGCCGGGCAGGCTCTGCAGGGCCGCGCCGCCGGGCACGGGCGGACCGAGCCACGTCTCCAGCGGCAGGCTGCTGCCCAGCGCACCCACCGGGGCCGCCTGCGGGGAGCGGCTGAAGGAGAGGATGGGAGAGTCCTGCAGCTTCATGGAGCTCACCTCCAGCTTCTCCTGCCGCCGCCACTTGGCCCGACGGTTCTGAAACCACACCTGCAAGCACAGCCGCGTTATTCGGAGCGGCGCGGCATCGGTGACCGCAGAGCAGTGCCAGCCCCGCGGCGGAGCCGTCCTGCCTTCCCCGGCCGTCCGCCGTACCGGCACGCAGCGCCCGGTAGGGACACGGGGGAGAAACGGCGGCCGCCGTGCCTGGGAGCCCTCAACCGAGGCCGCCCAGACGGAAAGCGGCCCGGCGGGTCTCCGCGGTTCATCCCGGCCGGGGACAGCCGGGACAGCGGCATCGACAGCCGCCGCCGCGAGTGCGCAGCGCCGGGCCGGGGCTTCCGGGGGACAGAACGCGGGGTCGAGCCGAGCCGAGCCGAACCGTGCGGGACCGCCGGCAGCCGAAGCGCGGGCGTTACCTGCACGCGGACCTCGGGCAGGTTGACTTTCATGGCCAGCTCCTCGCGGCTGTACACGTCGGGGTAGTGCGACTTCTCGAAGGCGCGCTCCAGCTCGTGGAGCTGGTAGGTGGTGAAAGTGGTGCGGTTCCGCCGGTGCTTCTTTTTGGGCTGCTCCTCGTCCGACGGTTTCCCGTCGCCTCCGCCGCCGCCGCCGGGCAGCTCGGGGCTGGCGCTGCCCGGGCAGTACGGCTCTGCGGGGAGAGACAGACGGGTGAGCGGCGGGGCGGCCGCCTCCGGGCCCTCCCCGGGGCGTGGGACACGCGTCCGCCGCCCGCCGCGCTCACCTTGGAAGCGGCCCTGGTGCTCGGCCGGCGGCGGCTCCGCGGGTCCCTTCGGGAGGCAGTGCCGCGGTCCCCGCTTGTCCGCCGCTTCTTTGGCGCTGCCGGCGCCGCCGTCGGGCTGGAAGGGGCCCAGGAGGCCGTCATCCTTGGTGAACCCCAGGATGGCCTCGATGCTGTGCAGCCTCGACGGGTTCCCCCCGGGGCTGCGCGCCGCCGGAGCCGACAGAGAGAAAGCGCCTTCGGCCATGGCGAGCGGGGAGCCGGGAGGGTGCATGGGGCGGCCGGCCCGGGGCGGCACTGGCACGGCACTGCGCGACGCGGCGGGCTGCCCTCCTCGGAGCGGGGGAGGAGTGCCGAGGGGCGGTGGGCGACGGGGAAGGCGAGGCCCCGCGCCGCTCCGGCCCGGCGGGGGGAGGCAGGGCATCCCCAGAGCCCCGCCGGCGGAACCCCCCGGCCCCCCCCCCCCCCCCCACCCTGCCGCCACGCCCCGCCGGCTCCGGGCGGCCCCGGGCGATGCCATTCGGGGCTCGCGGGGCGGGGCGGCCCCCGGCTGCCGATGGGGCTGGCCGCGGCAGGGCAGCCGAACGCGACCCGCGGCTGCGGACCCGGAGGCGGCCGAGCGCCGTCGGAAACCGTCGTGGTACGGCAGACGGCGAGAACCGGCCCGGGAAGGGCGCTCCGCGACGGGGCTGCGCTGGAACGGGAGCACCGGGCTGTCTGGGTCAGAAGCCATTGGGCAGTCGGCTCCGAGCCGCAGCCTGCGCCTGTCCCGTGAGTTTGGAAGGCACGTCGGCCTCGGGGCGGTTTTGCCGTGGCACTGCCCGGTGGTTAAGCGCACAGAATAAAACGCACTGCGGGGAAAAAGCTGCTGCTGTCGGGGTGCTCCCTCTGAGTCTGACTGCCTTCGAAATCGTGTTTACAGACTGAGTGAAAATGGGCTCTGGAGGAGCTGCCCTCAACCTTTCAGCTCTCTTCCTGAGGAAGTCTCGAGAGAACATTTATGGGAGCAGTTTCCAAGTTGCTGGTATTGCTTCCGACAGGAGAAGAGCTGGTTCTGCATCCCCATACCCTGCGGAGGACGTGGGACTGGGGGTTAAGAGGGCAGGGCTGTCCCTTCAGGTCTGTGTCCTCCTCCCACTTCGCAGCGTTTCCTTCTGCCCTTGCCCACACCTTTTTAAGGTTTATGGGCTGATGTCCCAGAGTTTATTCCTTCCAGCACTGCTCAGCTTCTCCTAAGAGTTGCAGGTGGGGTTGTCCGTCACCAACTGCTGCTTGGAAGAGATGGGGAGGGGGGGGAGGTGTACAGAAACAGCTCAGCCATCCATTGGCAAGGAGGGAAGAGGCCAACAGAAGAAGCAAGAAAAGGTTAGTGTGGCTTTTGTGCGCAATATAAAAAGCAAGTCAATACCATTGGAGGGGCATTGGAGGGTACTCAAAGCAATCAGCCAGGGGCCATTGTGTTCCTTTAATCTACATGTGTATTTCCCAAGAACTCTATTAATGAAGATGAATGAACTGTGCAATGTCCCTAATTTCTTGTAATTCGGAGCTGGGTTTTTATGGCACTCACAACCAGCGCAAAACATGTCTGGCTCTCCAGAAGATCTGGGCATGCTCGGGAGTTGTGTTTTTTTGGTTTTTTTTTTGCCTGTCTTAGTGGGAAAGGAGACAGACAGCAAGGTGAGGTGAAGCTGCATAGCCCTGCTGCAGACTCTGGGCTGGCAGTAAAGTCCCCATGAGGGGAACTGGGTCCTGGTGCAATTGCTTCCTCTTGAGCACCTGTTATTGCTATTAATCATAACGTGACATGCAGCAAAATACTTCCTCTCCCAAAGAGGTGTACGTATCCCCATACCTGCCCCCTATACCTCCTTCCTGCGGATGCAGAATGAAATCTGAAACGGGAATGATTTTGCTCCTGTTGATGCTTTTGAGAGAAGCGTATGGCGTGGAGCTTCAAGCCACGAAACCAGCGCATAAAATGTCGTGGGTTTTGCTTCCTTTCCTGTGGTCTTTTCTTTCTGTTGAATGGGAGTAATGAGATCAGCCTGCAGGTGGGTCCGTCGCTCTGTGCAGCAAGGATCACTGCCCTGAGCGATGGACAGCACAGCAAATCGTGGAGAGGAAGGTGGGAGCAAGGTGAAAAGGGGAGTGTTCGTTATCAGGAGCCTGTGCCCTGTTTGCTGATTGCTCTGTGTTACCCAATGAGCTCAGGCGTTGGGCTCACCTTGCTGATGTGCCCCTCCGGAGCAGGGGAGTGGAGGTTCATGCTGTAAGGCTATATTAATGCAATCCTTCTTTACTTGTTTTCCAATTAGCCTAATTGAATTCGGATTGCTTAAAAGTGGGCACCAGAGACATTTATCTTGATGGGATGACGGCCTTGAGCTCTAGCGATCCTATTAACTGTAAGAACACAAATCCCAGGTAGGGCCCGACCAGCAGTAGCTCCCATGTGACCTAATGCCTTTAATCTGCTCCTCTGCACACACACACACACAGACAGGCATGCACACATGTGCACACATGCACACAGGTGCGCGCGCATGCATACATGTGAGTTTGTGCACACATGTGCACAGAACACAGACGTGCAGTGCCTGCCTGTCAGGAGAGGAAGTATTCTATGTCAGGATTTGGAGAAAGGCCTTTTATTACCCTTAGAATTGGAATCAGAGACCCATTAACTGGTTGGGATGGGCAAAGCCCTCTGTCCCTCCGGTTTCTCACTGCCCCAGCACTGTGCACAGCCCCGTGCTGGGGGGCTTTGCAGGTCCCCGTGGAGCAGCCCCCAGCTCCCAGTCCCAGCGCAGCTCCAGCACTGCCCAGTGCTGCTGGGGGCAAGGGCTGCTGCTGAGCTCCAGGCTGTGCCCAGTGCACTGGGCAACACTGCAAAGACCTGCCTGCGCCTTCATCGCGTCATCCCTTCAGGTGTTTATATGCATGGGGTTGAGGCATGCATAAACGTGGTGGTGTATTCGTATACATTGAGTTGGAGCAGTCAGTGTGCTGCCTGTCTGCTTTGCTGCCCCACTGTCTGACCCCCAGGGCTCTGCACGGCTCAGTGCTGAGCTCTGTGAATGCCTCCCCTGGGGAAATGCTGTACTGCTGCAGCTGATGGCTCTGCCCAGCTCGGGGGCCTCTGTGCCCCAAGCTCCATACTGGTTGCTGATGGCTGCAGGAGGTGGGCATGCTGCTGGCCCTGCCGTTGCTGGGGTCCTCTGACTTCACCCCCAAGCTAGCTGCTGCTGCCTGCAGGTCACTGGTGGTGTTAGGGTTATGGTTGCACTGCGCTGCATTGCACTGAATCGCACTGCATCTCGTTTCATTGCATTGCATTGCATTGCATTTGTGTTAGGGTTAGGATTGCATTGCATTGCACTGGTTTTGGGTTAGGGTTAGTAGCACCTGGCAGTGCTGGTCTTGAGGTTTCGGTGACCACATGCTGTAAGCTCCCACCACCCAGGGCCGCTACAGCCAGGATGCCGTCCAGCACCTCGTGTGACCTGACCCTGCCGTGCCTGGCTGAAGCTTTTTATGTCTCTGGCTCTAAAAATGGTGCCTAAGGCACTGTGGGCCCTGCCAGCAGCAGATCAGCTCAGCTGTGCCCAGTACTGGGCCAGGAAGCCTCCCTTGCTGTGGGCAGGGGGCTCTCATCCCACCCATCCCATCCTCCAGCCGCCTCCAGCCCCGCTGACCCAGACCGCATTTTGGAATCTCGTTAATCACTCGTTTGCTGTTTCTGACTGTACTTTCTTCTCTGACCCTTTAAACCACAAAAACGCTGATCCTGTATGTGCTTACGAACTTAATTAGCTCCTTTAAACCACCAGATGCTTTCAATAAGATTTTCAGGATGTCCCAGGCACATTTTAATTCAAAGGTCAAAAGTCTTAGGCCTGTTTACCGCGGCGTTTTATGGATAGGATAACTCAGCCTGAAAAGCAGCAGAACAGCACAGAAACACTTAATAACTTTATACAGATGCAGAGGGAGGTGGATGGATCCTTGCTAATCAGAGGCCAATGGAGCTGGGCTGCAAGG